CTCACACAGTGTCAAAGTGCAGGGCAGCGATTCCTGCGGGAGCTGCTGCAAACGCCCTGGAGTCCCGTGTTGTGCCAGACTCGTTTCCTGTCTGGGTCTGTGTTGGGAAAAGGAGCCTGGTTTTGGGGAGGAAGGGCATCATCCCTGGGGCTTGGCTCTGGTGGAAATGCCATGCTGGCATCCCATCTCCTCCCTGCCCACGCGGCTCTGGAAACGTGCCGGGAGGAGCCTCGTGTTGTATCGAGTGCGGCCAGATTCTTTCATTTCTCATGAAATGAGGAACTCCTGGCTGAGCCAAAGGCCTGGGTCTGTGCTTTTGGCTTTGGAATGCAGGATGCTGGCCAGCAGGAATTTCTGTCCTCTGAGGGTTTTCTCATGGTGGCAGTTGAGGTTGGCAGGAGGGAAAAAGTTCTGTGTGGGCAGGGCAGGACAGCAGCGCCGCCGGGTGTGAGGCTGCACTTGGAAATCTTCAATCAGCACCACCGTGGTTGTCCTTGGTAGGGGCAGCCAAGCAGATTTGAGGTCTGGGCTGAGAGCCACGGTGATCCTGCCAGCTTTTGTGGAGCAGCTCAGCTTGCCCAGAACAGGTAGTGATAAAACACCGAGAAAAAAGAGTTTAAAATGCGGCCGCGGTCGGACTCGCGGGATTTACTCCAATGTCATCCCACTGGGAATGGGCTGCAGAGATTTTGGGTGTCATCATCTCTGGTGATGACAGCAGCTCCTTTGGCTTCTCCTTGGCACCTGTCCTGGCACAGAGCTCGGCTGCTTGTCCCGGAGCCAACGTGATCGTGGCTCTTCTCTCCTTCCATGAAGTGAGAGCTCAGAGACATCAGGATCAAAATCATCTCTACCAGAGGGAACCCAAGGTTTCCATATGGAGCCTTACCCAGTGCCAGAATTCCTGCTGTAGCCAGGATGTCGAGAGAATCACAGAACCATTCAGTCCTTCAGGCCCATCCAGTCCCACCTGTGCCCCATCCCCACCTTGTCCCCAGCCCAGGGCTCTGAGCGCCACATCCAGACCTTTCCTCAGACACCTCCAGTGATGGGAACTCCAAACCTCCCTGGGCAGCGCCTTCCAATGCCCGACCACCCTTTCCATGGAGAAATTCCTCCTCTCTACCCAGCCCGAGGCCGTGTGCTTTGTCCCCGTCTGACATCCCACATTCGTCGCCTGGCTCAGTGCAAACTCCTTCTGACAGCTTCACTTCCAAAACACGACTCAGCTTCCAGGAGGATGCTGGTTGATGGGACCAGGCAGAGCTGTTGTCTCCCTCGTGCCCATCTCTGGATGCGTTTGCAGAGCTGCAAGTCCCAAACAAAAGTTAAAAATGACCAAAATCTGGTCTCACGCCTCGGCTGCAGAGGGAGCGGGAGTGGAGTCGGCCGTGGTAATAATGGATGTGATTTATTCTCTTCCCTCCTTCCAGGGAGTTGTAAATAATCCCAGAATGTGTGCCTGATGTGCAGAGGGAAGGGACCCTGGTGGATCTCAGTCTGTGGATCTCAAGTGCTGATTCAGGCAACTTTCTTAAAACCTGTCTGGATTTGTCCAAACCAGGAGTTGAAATTAAAAGCGTGTGACAGGGTGGCTTCAGGGACACTTGGAATTCATTGTTCCCTTTTCCTAGAGTTTGCCATCTCCCAAAGTCCTCCAGCAGAGCCCTCCCTGGCCTCTGTTAAGCTTAGATTGGCTGATTTTTAATTGATTTCTTTCCCACGTGTGCACGTGGGAGAGCTGGGGGAGCCTCGGCTTCCTGTGCGCTGCTGCGGAAAGCGAGGAGGGCGGGAGGCGACCTGCTCAGCCAGGAACCAGGGCTGGGATGAAGGTCATCAGCTCCCAGATGTGGCACTCCTTGATGGCTGGGGACAAGTTCCGAGGCTGGCCGGGTCAGAGGGGTCACCGGTGACCCGGGAGAGGCGTTAACCCTTTCCTGCACGGAGAGCATCCGAGTGCTGCCTGATCTTCAGTGAGTCCCCACCCCACCCTGCTCTCCTCCCCCAGCCCCTTTGGATGGAATTCCTCATCTTTGGCACAGATGGGAACGGATCCTTTTCCTGAGGGCTCATTCACTGTCTCCCCAAATTATCCAGCTCTCCTAAGGGCATCATCCTTCAGGCTTTTCTCCCCTCACAGAGACCTGACATGAGCAACGAGGCGCCTGCTTTCTTGCAGAGTTTGCTCTTTGCCCAGGAATCAATCCAGTTCACTAAGCTGAGCTGTCAAAACTTCTCCAAGGGCACGGGCATTCCTCATGTTTTCACCATCAAATTGTATGTGACACTTCATTTAAAGCTTAAGCATGAAGCCTCACTAGCACGGAGATTGCTGGAAGGTATTGATTTTGCTGCGGGTTTTTTTGTGTTTATGAATAAAAAGGTATTTTAAAGTATCGGTAAAAGGACATTATTGCTGGGCAGACTCTGGATTTATGCTCTGGTTTAGTTTTTCTCTCAGGTTTTTTAAGATCTGTTTGTCCAATGTGTCTGTGAATAACAAAACACTGGGAGGAAATGGACGTTGTGGGGTTTTGTGCTCCTTGAGTCGAACAGATCCCATGTTCTGGGACTGAATCACCTGGAACTGATTTTCTAAAAGCAGAAGAAGCTTTTGATGTGTTCTGTTGGGTTCTTGGAGGCATTTCAGGTATCTCCAAACTTTGCAAACTGCTCAGGAGGTTCATGGTTTTGAGCTCTGGGCCATTGAGCTGATGGCAAAGCGTTTTAAAGAGAATTAGTCCCAAACAAAAGCCAAAGATGACCAGAATCAGGCGAGCAGGGCACAGTCTGGGGTGGTTTTGAGTCTGGAGGGGTTGGGTTTGGTGCAGGTCCCAGCACTGGTGCTCTGCTCGGTGTTTGGAGCCCTTGCTGAGAGGGGAGGAGGTGTTCTGGTGATGGGCTGGGGTCTCTCTGTTCTCTGCCTGATTTTGTGTCTGAATCTCCTTGGGAAGGAGAACTGCTGCCTCCTCCTTCTGCCAGAGCCTCTCAGCTTTGCTGAGGGAACATCTTTCATTGGGTTTTGACAGAGCTCCTGCCTCGAGACCATTAGGGAACAAAGTTGTGGCAAAATTGGTCCTTAAAACGATGGAAATGTGGGAGAAGCAGCGCTGGGGGAGAGATTGAGACCTCAGCGTCTGAAAAGGGACAGAGAGGGTTGGTTATGGCACCTCCGGGCACTTCTGGGGGTGAGACCCACCCAGGGCAGGGGGTGGGAGCTGAAGGGACACAATTCCCAAGGAGCAGTGTTGATGTTTGAGAGGAAAGGTGGATTCTCTGACTCTGGCTGTGGAGGTGGAGACAGGAAACTCTCCTGGCAGAGATCTCCCAGTGACAGCTCCACTGCCCTGGACTGTGGAGGTGGAGACAGGAAACTCTCCTGGCAGAGATCTCCCAGTGACAGCTCCACTGCCCTGGAGCACACAGGAGGTCAATGCTGGTGACTCCGAGGATTCCAGAATGGTTTGGCTGGGAACCAAATAGTTTGGCTAAAGGAACCTTAAATCTCATCCAATCCCACCCCCTGCCATGGGCAGGGACACCTTCCACCATCCCAGGCTGCTCCAAGCCCTGTCCAGCCTGGCCTTGGACACTTCCAGGGATCCAGGGGCAGCCACAGCTTCTCTGGGCACCCTGTGCCAGGGCCTCTTCACCCTCACAGGGTACAATTCCTTCCCAATATCCCATCCATCCCTGCCCTCTGGCAGTGGGAAGCCATTCCCTGTGTCCTGTCCCTCCATCCCTTGTCCCCAGTCCCTCTCCAGCTCTCCTGGAGCCCCTTTAGGCCCTGCAAGGGGCTCTGAGCTCTCCCTGGATCCTTTTTTTCTCCAGGCTGGACTCACTCCAGCAGATCCACGTCCTTCCTGTGCTGAGGACCCCCGAGCTGACCACGGAGTGTGGAGTTGTCTCCTCCTGCTTCCCTCCTCACCCCATTCCCACCCTGATTCCTGCAAGCTCTTTTCCAGCAGTTCCCAGGCAGAGAAGAAACCCTGGGAGCATCTGGTGGCTTTGGATAACCCTTCAGCCAAGCCAAGCACTGAGCAGAGCTTTGTGATGCTGCTCCACCTCGGGAAGGAGCAGGATCAGAAATTCCTGTGCTGACATTGTCCCTGATTTTTCCATGTCCTGATGAAACCACAGAGCTCCCGGGGTGGGAATGCTGCTTTTCCATCGCCCAGAGCTGCCTGGTTTGCTCACCTGCAGTAGATTGTTGGTGCTTTTAATGGCTCTTTAATGAAATATTCCATGTGTTCCTGCCCAATATTCCACCCCCCTGGAGGTTTCAGCAGATGAAAGCTCCAAGACCGGCTTTCCATGGGAATTGAATCATCCCAGCTGTCACGCAGATCCCGATACAAATATTTCCACTGTTAATGGTTTCAGCATGGGCTTTTTTGTGGGATCAAATGTAATCTTATTTAATGGAGTTCTGTGATGCTTTGGTATTTTCACCAGGCTGGGCTTAATTTTATAATGGAGATTGTTCAGAGCAGAGGCAGGGAAACGACTGGAGGGATAGAATGGGGTGGGAAATGTGGGATGGACGGGGTGACTTCGGATCAGCCACGGGAGGCTGGAAGTGTAAGAGCAGGGGAGAGGATCCAGGGTGGATGGGGCTGTCAGGGATGGTGTGAAACTGTGCAGGGGAGGTTTAGGCTGGATATCAGGAAAAGGTTCTTCCCTGGAGGGTGTCAGGCACTGAAACAGCTCCCCAGGGAATGGTGACGTTCCCAAGGCTGCCAGAGCTCCAGGAGCGTTTGGACAACGCTCTCAGGGATGCCCAGGGTGGGGTTGTTGGGGTGTCCTGGGCAGAGCCACAGGCTGGACTGGATGATCCTGGTGTGTTCCTTCCAACTCCATGATTCCACACCATGGTTCTTGGAAGAGGGAGAAATCCAGTAGGATTTTCCAGTAGGATTTTCCAGGTGTATGGCTGGGGGTGAGGGGAATTGTCACCACCCTGGGCCCCGCAGCCCCTAAACGTCACTCCCGCCCCGCAGGTCGTGCGCACGGAGAAGAACAGCCTGAACAACCGGTTCCTGCCCTGGGACGAGATCGAGACCGAGGCCATCCTGTCCATCGACGACGACGCCCACCTGCGCCACGACGAGATCATGTTTGGCTTCCGGTGAGAGCCCTCGCACAAAGCGCTCCTCCCCGCAGCCAGGATCTGCCCAGGGACACGACTGGGGCTGGCACATCCCTTCCCACGGCTCCCCAGCTCCGTTTCTTGGGGAAACATGCGTTAATGGCGTGGGGAACCTGATCCCAGCTTGTCCAGGAAACCCCATTTCCCACACTTCTTAACCCAACTCTTCAGCTTTTGCCGTGCTGATCGTGGTCCTGAATGGATTTAACGCCTGTGGCTTCCGAGGGTGGAAATCCAAGAGGATTTGTTTCATGTGCTCCATCCGTGAGCCAGAGGCAGGGCTGGTGGTGGCTGCCACCCTCTGCTCCGTGTGGCACTGGGGAGTGACAGTTCCCTTTCTCCTGCAGAGCAGCCCAAGGCAGGCTGCTCTCACTCCCAGCCCCCAGCTTTCCCTTGACTTTTTCCCTGGAAAAAGCTTCCTGATGACGGGAATGAGGGGGCTCCTGCCGGGGGAGGTTTGTGCCAGCTGCTCCTGCAGCTCCTGCAGCCAAACCTCACTCCCTGCCAGGAGCTGCTGGGGAGTGAGGGTGGCTCAGGGAGCAGGGACTGCGATTCCCGGTCGGAGAACACCCGGCAGCTGCCTGGGGGAGGGAGACAGGGACCAAAACCTGCTTGGGAGGAGGATTAAAAGGCACAGAATATCTGGAAACCCACCAGGCTCCCCCAGAGAGATGAGAAACAAGGCGTGAGAGGGATTAAAGTGCAGGAGGAGGCGTCAGGATTCCTGGCTTCCCTTCCCTGCCCCATTCCAGGCTCTTTATCCAAACTGGGCTGTCGTCTCCCCTTTTTTGGTCTCTGTTTTCCTTTGCCTGGCTGAGGTTTTGCTGATTAGCCCTGGAGAGCATCAAATGAAGGTTGTAAGTGCCCTGTGTCATTCTCACTCATATCCCTGCTTACAGACACCCTGTTCCCACAAAGGCTCCCTGTGTTAACACATTCCCAGGAACTGCCGGAGTCTCGGCACTGCAGTGAACCTCTGCCCACAGCAGCTGTGCTTTGTCAAAACTTTGCTCCAGGCTTTGATTCTTGGGGCCAAAAGCATGGTTTTTCCCTGTTTGCCACTCAGGAGGGAGCTGGAAGCAGCTCTCTGAGCGCCCCCAGAAGGATTCTCCAGAGAAATCCTGATTTTTGTGAGCTGGGAAGGAAAAAGCATCCCGTTCGTAAGAAAGCGAAGATGTGGGAGAAGAGGAAGGGAATAAGTGTTTGGACTTCCAGCTTTTCTAAACAATTACCCTGGATTGACAGGAACTGCAGCAAACGAGTGCTGGGGGGAGGATAGAGCCAGGGAAGCTGCTGGTGGTGGTGATTCCTCAGGATTATCTTGGAGTTTAGTTAATTGGAGTGGAGGACTGAACAACAAACACTCCTGTGCTCCATAAGTGTAGGGAAAGCTCAGGGAATCTCGGTCTCCTCTGCTGCTCTCCCCCTGTAGCTCTCCCAGAACAGGGCTAGTGGGAGAAACTCACACCCAAATGAGGGAAAAACCCAAATACGGCACTTTCTGCCCAGTTTTGTGCCTGGGAAGAAGGGAAAACCCTTCTGTGTGCACAGGGAGTTCTCTCCTGCAGCCTGGAGTCACAGCTTGGGCACGGAGCAGCAGGAGGGGGCTGGATGATCCAAGGAATCCAGCACCCCTGCCTCTGGAAGCTGGATTTGTTTCCAGGCTTAGGCATCAGGCACTGACTTTTTCCTTAATTATTCCTGCCAGTGTTGCAGCTCCCCAGGGGGATTTCTCTGGAGGAGCGTGAGCTGCAGATGAGAGCAGAACATGAAGCAATCCACAAAGCTCAGGATTTCATTCCCGAGGCTGGACCATGAGTGTGTGGTGGGGTGAGGGAGGCACTCAGGGCCCTGGAGGCTTTTCCTGTATGGCCAGAGCCCAGGAAGCTGCAGTTTGGGATGAGGAGCTGGCACTTTGGCAATCCAGGTCTTCCCTCGGGGCCTTCAGCATCTCTCAGCAGCTTTTTACAGGATTATGGAATTGTGGGATTTCCAGAGTCCTGGAACAGTTTGGGTTGGAAGGGAGCTCAAAGCTCATCCAGTCCCACCCCTGCCACGGGCAGGGACACCTTCCACTGTCCCAGGCCCTGTCCAACCTGGTCTTGAAGCTTTCCCTAAGGGAGGTTGATGTTGTCTTGGCTTCACTGAGCTGCTGGCAGATGGAAAATCCCAAGGATTTGGGGAAGAGGCCAGGAGGTGTTGGGCTCCTCCCAGGCTGAGCCTGGGCTGCTCTGGCCTTAGTTTTCTTTCAACCTCCAGAACAGCCCTCATGAGCTACAAAATCCCTGATTTATGGATTAGGAGCCCTTTCCCTGTGCATAAGCAGCTCGGCTGTGTTCTAGGTCGGGAGCACATTTTAACACAGTTTTCCTTTTTGCCCTTTAGGCATTCCTTGGATAAGCAGTTGCCAAACCCCTTTATGTTCTCCATCCCTTGCAGCCCCTCTGGGCTCCCAGGGGTGTGTCTCACGGGCAGTTCTGTGTTTGCAGGGTGTGGAGAGAGGCCAGGGATCGCATCGTGGGTTTCCCGGGGCGCTACCATGCCTGGGACATCCCCCACCAGTCCTGGCTCTACAACTCCAACTACTCCTGCGAGCTCTCCATGGTGCTCACTGGTGCTGCCTTCTTCCACAAGGTGAGAGCTCCCCGGGGCTGCCCCTTCCTCCCCACAGCCTCCTGAGGCTGCAGCTCTGGGGAGTTGTGGTTTTTTAAGGACAAATGTGGGAGCTCTCTGTTCTTTTCCCCTGACTTCCTCCAAACTGAAACACAGCCAGAACCTGAGAGCATTGGGAAGGGTATCCAGTGGCTGTTCCTGCTGGGCTGGCAGGAGGGGGCTGGAACCCCCATTCCTCCATTTCTGAGGTTCCAGGAGAGGAGGGTGGTGCCCGTGGCAGATTTGCTGCCGCTGTGGCTACAGAGGATCTCGGTGTGGGATTAACTCCGTTACGGGAACGTCTCCGCCGGGATCCCTGATCCAGCTGTGGGTCAGGTCCCGACCGGCCGCGTGTTCCCGTTGCAGTACTACGCCTACCTGTACTCCTACGTGATGCCCCAGGCCATCCGGGACATGGTGGACGAGTACATCAACTGCGAGGACATCGCCATGAACTTCCTGGTGTCCCACCTGACCAGGAAACCTCCCATCAAGGTAAAGCACTGGCACTTGTCTCGGGGTTGGCTTTGCTGGAGAAGCTGTGGTTGGGAAGTGAGTGGCGTCTGCTCCAGGGAATCCAGCTCCAGTGGGAAAGCTCAGCCTTTGGAATCAGCCAAATCCCTTCCACAGAGCAGGTGAATTGAGGTTTGACATCACAGGACTAAATCAGATTGAATTCTGGTGAAAGGTTCCCTGTCCACAGCAGAGATGATCTCTGCTCTAGAGCCAGGCTGGGAGAGCTGGGGGTGCTCACCTGGGGAAGAGAAGGATCCAGGGAGAGCTCAGAGCCCCTTGCAGGGGCTCCAGGAGAGCTGGAGAGGGACTGGGGACAAGGGATGGAGGGACAGGACACAGGGAATGGCTTCCCACTGCCAGAGGGCAGGGATGGATGGGATCTGGGGAAGGAATTGTTCCCTGTGAGGGTGGGCAGGCCCTGGCACAGGGTGCCCAGAGAAGCTGTGGCTGCCCCTGGATCCCTGGAAGTGTCCAAGGCCAGGCTTGGGCCGGGGGCTTGGAGCAGCCTGGGATAGTGGGAGATGTCCCTGCCCATGGCAGGGGGTGGCACTGGATGAGCTTTGAGCTCCCTTCCAACCAAGACTCCATCCCGAGATTCCATCCCGAGACTCCATCCATTCCCGAGCCCCTGGCAGTGCCCCAGGCTGGGTGCTGTGGGCAGTGTGGCACTGACACCTGTGTCCATCCTGCAGGTGACCTCCCGCTGGACGTTCCGCTGCCCCGGCTGCCCCCAGGCGCTGTCCCATGACGATTCCCACTTCCACGAGCGGCACAAGTGCATCAACTTCTTCGTGAAGGTGTACGGGTACATGCCCCTGCTCTACACCCAGTTCCGCGTCGACTCGGTTCTCTTCAAGACCCGCCTGCCCCATGACAAGACCAAATGCTTCAAGTTCATCTAGAGCTGGGAGCAGCTGGACATTGCCAGCTCCCAGCTGTGGCCGCAGGCGGGGGAGGCCGGCACGGGGCTGCTTTGTTGGGGCTGTGAGAGCAAAAGGCTGTTTGCTCTGGACTCCGGCCTCGCTCCCGCCGGCAAACGGGACGGCCTGGATTGGGACGGGCACTTCCCCGCGCTCCCAGAGCGGCTCACCCCGACAGGGAATGGGATCCTGTGGCTCCTGGAAGGACGCTCCCACGGATCGTACACTGAGGAATGGCTCGCTGGCTCTGCCCCTTCGCTAGCCAAGGGCAGCCGTTCTTTTTAATTATAATTATTGTTATTTAAAATGAAAGTGTTTTAGATTTGCCGCGTGAGGCGCTTTTTTGTTTTCTTTTCTTTTCCCTTCCCTCTCCCCACCTCATTTCCCCCTCTGGACCCTTCAGCCCATCCGAAGGGACCGTAGCAAGGCCAGCTCAGAGGTGTTTGGGTGCAGCATCAGGGCAGCTCCTGTCACCGCTGCTGTCCCCATCCTTCCTCCTATGGCACAGCCCTTCCCACCCACCAGATCCTCCTGGCTTCTCTTGCCCTGTGGCTCCTGCTGAGGCCTGTCAGGTGTCAGAGTGCTCTGCTCCCCACCCTGGGCCCTGGAGAGGGGTGAGGTTGGCCTGGATGGACGTTCCCAGCTCCAGCTCTGGCCCCGTTCCTGCCGCAGCCCGGGGGGTTCAGTCGCTGCTGTCTCGGTGTCTTTTCCCACCTTGTCCTGCTGATCCTCTAAAGACAGGGAGCGTGTTTGGGGCTTAGGGAAGATCCACCTGCAGCACAGCCAGGCCTGGAAGTGCTCCAGGCTCCTGCAGGCTCTGCACCCAGCCTGGGTGAGCCAGAGCTGCAATTCCTGCTCTGCCTCATCCCCACCCCAGAGCGCGCCGTGCCCACCTCGGCTTTGCCGTGGGGCTCAGTGTGGCTGCCTTAACCCCCGCCTGGCTTCGGGCTGTAGCCCAGGCTTAATCCAAACAGGAGCTTCCCAGCGTGTGATGCCGCTGGGATCACGTTCACAGCGTGGGTTTGGAGCTGGTTCCTCTCCCCCAGAGCAAAATGCTGTCACAGTTGTGACCACCTGAGCTCAGCTTGGCCCTCGTGTGGTTCTCCCTCAGCACATCCCAGGTGTTTGTGAGCAGCCTGGGGAAGCTCTTGCTGGGCAGGTGGGAAGGTGACACTTGTGTGGTCACCTCGATGTCCCTGGTTTTCCTGGATGTCACCCCTGGTGTGTGAGAGCAGGGATGGTCCAGCAGCAGCTCCTGGGCTCGTTCCCAAGGTCAGCCCTGTCCTTGTTCCTCCTGCACCACCTCTTGGGGCCTCTCCAAACTCCCCTATAGGTTTTCCTATCAGCACTGACACTTCCTCCCTGGGGAGGGAAGGAGCAGCCTGTTCCCAGCAGAGCCCATGGCTCGTGCCTTCACCAGCACCACTGACCACAGCAAAACAGGAATATTTCCCTGTGTTTCTTTTGCCCTTTATATTCCCTTCTTGTTCTAACATCAGATGCTCAAAACGCAGCACGTGAAGTCTCACAGTCTCCTTAAAAATGCCATGGGAGGATTCTTTGTGCTGCCCAGAGTGGAAATGTGGCACTTGTCAGGAGCTGTCAGCTCCAGCATTCCCGAGGGGCCTGAGCTCTTCTGCCACGGCTTTAATTCCAGCCTCATTAGTGGGGGTTCGTTAGCAGCGATGCCGTGGCTCAGGCACAGCCCAGGGTCAGCTCTGCCCTGCCGGAGCACGGGGTGATGTGGGCGAGGACTGCACTTTATCCAAACCCAGGCACTGCTGCAGCCTTCAGGCTTTCCCAAATGCCAGGGAGATGTAACTGCAGCGAGAGCCGGGGAACACAGAGGGGACGGGAAGTGTTGGCATTGCCCAGAGCGTCGTGGGGCTCGGGATGCTCAGCGTGTCGGAGCCCCAGGCTGGGAATTCTGCTTCCCCTTGCTCTGTTTCCATTCGAGGCCAGTTGAGATCAGGGATCAGCAGAGCAAATCCAACTGTTCCCAGGCTCTTTGGCCTTTTTCCCAAGCTGTTTTTTTTCTCTTGGGATGATCCCCCTGCCCCTTGTGCTGGAGCAGGAGCAGGATGTGTGGTGGGATCTCTCTGCGTGTGGTGGGATGAATTCCTCCTTGCTGAGCGCCCCTAAAGGGGAAGGATTTGGGAGTGAAGGGATAAAGAGGCTGCTGCTGGGAGATACCAGGGCAGCAGCAGCGTTGGGAGGGATGGAATTCTGTGAGGAAATGAAATGTTCCGGCAGGAACATCTTCCCCACCCACAGGGCTGGTGCTGCCCCTCCCGACCCTTCTGCTGCGGCTTTTCCCAAATTATCCCAAACACCACCGAGCCCCCTGGAGAACAGGACCGGCATTCACAGCCCAGCTTTCTGCTCCTGAGACCTGCCAGGACCTGCCAGGAGGAGAGGGGCTTTTCCAGAGCGCGTTCCCACCCGTGCCACCATCCCAAACACCTTCCTTGCCACACCCAGCGTTCTCCCGGGGTTTTCAGGGCATCCCAGGGTCACTCCGAAGCTCAGGTTTGGTTGTACGATCCCATCCCAGCTCCTGGGGCTCTTGGCAGCTGCACCTTTTCCCCAGTTCAGGAGTTTCTGCTGCTTCCCCCGGGCACGGAGCGAGGCCTTTCCCGCTGTAAATAGCAACGACCGAGGTGACAGGGCCCCAGCCCCGGCTGTGTCACACGGCCCCTGCCCTCCCCTTGTGCCCACCGTGCCCTGAGCACCGACAGGAGCTGAGACACAAGGAACACTCCTTCGACACGAGCACAATGTTGAGGTTTTTTGTAAAAGGTTCCAATAAATGGAGAGTTTAACTTGGGAGAGTCTCGGTGCCTCTTTGCTGGGGGTGGGGACGGGGCTGATGCTGCTCCTGGCCCTGGGACACACCAAAAACCAGGGAACTTCTGGGCTTCTGTTCCCATGGAGCAGGTGAGCTGGTCTGGAATGCTGGGGACTCCTCATGGATGGCAGTGCCTGGGGTTCATCGTGTCCCTGCTGAGCTCATGGCTGGGCCAGGACAGCCCCTGGGAGGGGTTGGACCCTGAGTGGCTTCCAGGGCCACCCCATCCCCGTCCTGGGGCTGCTCTGTGTGGTTTCTGTGGGTGTGGGGGTGTTTGTAGGCAATGAAAGCAGCAGCTGAGCCAGCTGGGACTGCAGCTCCATCCCTGCCCAGGAATCCAGAGCCGAGGGCTTTCAGGGGACACTTCCCATGGCATTGATGGCTCAGGATGCTCCTGGTCCCTCTCCTATGCAGGAGGTGGAAAAACCAAATGGATCCACGAGGTTTGTAAGCAGATTCCCAGCTACAAACATGCAGGGAGGAGCAGAGGGGAGGAATGGAGCCAGCTGGGCCACGAGCCATGGGATCCCCTCCACGCTGGGCTGGGAATCCCTCAGGATTTCCTGCATGTGGCTGCATTTCCTCTCTTCCTTCCTATTGCCTTTTGTTTTTTGCCCTCCCTCCTGAGCAGCTGCTTCCTCCGTGGTCTCTTTTCACTTCTGCTGTCACTTTTCACCTCTGTGTCTCTTGCCCTTGCTGCTCCTCCCACTGGGAATTGTGTCCTGCATTTTCCCTTCTGCCTTGGAGTAAGGCTTGGTTTGTGCTGGGGTTTGTTTCCAGGAGAGGCTCCAGGAAAACCCCAAAGGATTTTAATCCTGGAGGGAAGAGGTGGATGCTCAGCCTCCCAAATACCCGTGATCTGTCCCCAAAATACTGCAGGGAGGCAGGGCCATCACTGGCAGGGAAGGGCACAGAGGATCCCGGCCTGGCAGCAGCAGTGGGATGTTGGTTTGGGATCTGGCTCCCAAACGAGCCCAGCAGCACCTTGGGCACAGACTCAGCTGGAGCCGATCTTCTCCTGTGGCTTTTCCCGAGATAAAAATCTCCTGATCAATAATTTTTCCTGCTGTAACTGCTGTGTTTGGTGAGAGAAGCCACAGCCCCAGTTCCATTTCCCCGTTTTCCTCTGAGAGTTTCTAGCCTGGGATGAGGAACCGGAGGCGATAAATCCTGTTAATCATTCATTCACTCCCTGCTCCCAGGAGGAGAGCAGGGTGAAGTGCTTTACACTCCACTCCTCTGCACTACAAAGTGCCCTCGATTCTCCCTTTTGGATGATGCACTCCTTGCTAAAACACAATTCCGCTGGAATTGTTCTTGTTCTGGCCAGCAGTGCCATGAAAGCCACCAGCTCCTGCTGAGCCCAGGACAGGACCTGCTGCCACCCCTTCCCGGGTGATCTGTCCCAGGTGATGGGTCCTGGGAGGACTTGCTGAGCCCAGGACAGGACCGGCTGCCACCCCTTCCCGGGTGATCTGTCCCAGGTGATGGGTCCTGGGAGGACTTGCCCTGCTTCATGGTCTTCTAGGGAAGAGTTCACAGTCCATGGATCCTTGAGGGAAGAGTTCACAGTCCATGGATCCTTGAGGGAAGAGTTCACAGTCCATGGATCCTTGAGGGAATAGTTCACAGTCCATGGATCCTTGAGGGATGGGGTCACAGTCCATGGATCCTTGAGGGAGTTCACAGTCCATGGATCCTTGAGGGATGGGGTCACAGTCCATGGATCCTTGAGGGATGGGGGTCACAGTCGATGGATCCTCAAGGGACTGGGGTCACAGTCCATGGATCCTTGAGGAATGGAGTCACAATTCATGGATCCTCAAGGCATGAGTTCACAGTTCATGGATCCTTGAAGGGTGGGGTCATAGTTCATGGATCTTTGATGGATGAGGGTCACAGTCCCTGGATCCTTGAGGGATGGGGTCACAGTTCATGGCTCCCAGGTGACAGCTCACCTGTGACAGGTGAATGGGACCTGTCAGATCCCACCTTTCTCACCACAAGCCTGCCCAGGCTCTGATGTGCAGCCAATCCCAAATCTCCTCCCACTCCTGCCAAAGGCTGAGCTGCTGTGGGGCAGCTGTGGGGCACAGACCCAGCTCTTTGCTCCGGTTTCCCTCTGCTCCTCACGTCCAGGTGCTCATGGAGGTGACAGAGCCCAGTGACAGTGACTGAGCCCAGGCAGGGACCGGGCGTTAACTCCCCTGCTCCAGCTGTTTTCACTGGGTCTCACGTTAAAGGAGAGAAAACACAATAAACTCATCTCCACCAGCTGCTCCATAAAAGCCATCCCAGAGCAGAAACCTGATTTTAACCTTTCCTCCCCTTTATTCCTGTGGGAGCACAGGGTTGGGAAGTCACTGGGAATTAATCACTTGCCACACACCCCACTAACTGTGTTTAATGAGGGAAGCAGTGGAGAGAGGCTGGAGCAGCTCAGGAAGGGATGGATGTGGGATCCAGGGAATGGGGATGGCCACGGCACAAACAGCCACAGGGGGGCCAAGGGAATTTATTTTCCATTCTGGAAGAAGAGTGAATCCAGGAACTTTGCTGCTCTTTGGCCATGAAATTGGGAACTTCTGGATAAAGCCTGGATTGCATCCATGGTATTCCTCCCCTGGCAGCTCCCTGGGCTGCCATGGTGCCCTCTGCAGGACTGGGCCAGCCCCAAGAAATGCTGTTTGTTTTTCTCTCTGTGCAGAAGGAACAAACACTTTTTTTTCCCAGTTTAATTAGGGTTTCCCATTAAAGAATTCCCCTCCCAGCACATTTGCTTTCAGGCACAACCTGAATACAACAAAACAACCTACTCTCAGCTGCTGGACTGATGGAACAATGAGAAATTTTCCTGCTCAAAATGACAGGAAGAAAAACGTAAAACTTTCAATTTTTAAATTGAAAAGCCTTGGGAATGTGAAAAGGAAGGCACTGGAGCAGTGGGATCTGTGCTGGAGGTGAGGTAACCAGCAGAAAGATGAGTTTATCCCACGGCCTCTCTGGGTTAGGAGTAATCCCTGTGGAGTTTATTAAAGTGAAATTATCCCAGTTCATTTACTCTGTTTTTAAGTGATGCTAAAGCAGCAAACCCCGATGAGGATTTAATTCCACCGCCCCAAGTTTCTCATGTTGGTGACACCACTCCTCACACACCTGTGCACACACAGAATAAAGGTGTGGGTACTGGCATCTGCACACCCAACCCAGCAGAAACCCTTCATGGGAATGATGAAATGGGATGTGGACACTGCAGTGGCAAAGAGATTTTATTACAGAGCTGCTTCCACTCCCTCCATCTTCCCAAAGGGATGAACTGGAGGAGCAGCTTTATTTCCCAAAGGCATCAGGACAAGGATGTGGAATGGGCATGGAGAGGCTTTTATAAACCATGGGATGTGCTCCCTCCCGGGCAGACTCACTCTGCTTTTTATTTTTTAACACCAAATAAATACAAAACAATCCAATAGGAAATGAACAGCAGTAAATCTGAGAAATGGGAAGCCTTTAAAAGCAATACTGTTGACTGAGGTGGGGCCCCAAATACGTGATTTGGGGAAGGAAAAGCCTCCCCAGGTCTGCAGTACAGATGGGTTTGGATAAATGACTCAGAATTCCATCCAGGATTTGGGATGGGGGCGCTGCAAGGACAAGATTTTGGAAGGTAGAAACAAGAGGCACTTAAATCTCGAAAGGATTTTTATGAGAATTAGGAATTTTCCTGCTTTATGGACTTCCCTAAATGTCTTCCTGAGGTGTTTCCTCTGCTGCTGATGGAGGAACCCAGGAGGAACCAGTGAAGGGCCTGGAGCTCCAGGGACAGATCTGGCTGTAACAGGTGAGGCTGCAGCATCAAATAAACACTTGAATTCCTACAGGATGAAGCTTTTCCAAAGTGCCTCTGCTTGTGCAGGGAATGGCCAGGCTCTTCCCACTATTCTCCATGTCCACCAGACCCCCTTTTTCCATTTCTATTTGTACACTCTTTGCCTCATCAGCTCTCCCCTCCTCCTGCCAGTGAAGGACATGTGAACAACACACAGGAAGGAGAGGCAGGGAGAAGGATCTGGGGCCTGGGAAGAAGCAGTGGGAGGAAAAAGGCCATTGTTTCAATATTCCTACACAGTTCTGTCAGGTGAGGGACTGGGGCAGACACTTCTGAGGGACACAGAGAAGCAGCAGTTCACCCTGATGTTGTAAATAAACACTCCAGTTACTTACTCTGCAGTTCCTAACTCCTGTAAGATTCCCAGCTCCCACTTTTACACAACAGGAATCTCCTCCAAAGTACTCCACAACAGGTTAAAAATAAGATTTAAAAAATAGATATTAAAAATACTCCCTTGCTTCTCCATGAAGGGGAATGTGGTTTCTGGTCTCTCAGAATCACAGGATTCTCTCTCTCTCTCTCTCTCTCTCTCCTTGGACAGATCCAAGTTCTGCTCCTCCAGGCTCTCTCCTTGCAGGGCCTCCTGATGTCCATGAGCTAAAATTTCTGCAGGAATTTGAGCACCAGGTCCCGCAGCTTCACCCTCAGGGGCTCGTCATTGTCACAGATGATGTGGGTGGAGTCCTCCTCCAGCTGGATCAGGGTCTCTGCCTCCTGCAGCAGCACAATGTGGCCCTTGGCCGTGTCCTCCACCTTCACGTCACTGAAGCCGTGCTGGATTTGGGGTGGGAGAGGGAGAGAGGGAAATAAATGAGCACATTTCAGGAAAACTGGGAGAGAGGAGACAGCAGGGCACAGGGGAGAGGGGAAATTGAATGGAATCAAAGATTGGTTTGGGTGGGAAGAGAACCTTAAATCTCATCCAGTGCCACCCCCTGCCATGGGCAGGGACACTTTCCACTGTCCCAGTGTCTCCAGGCTGCTCCAAGGCCCATCCAGCCTGGCCTTGGACACTTCCAGGGATCCAGGAACAGCCACAGCTTCTCTGGGAAGCCTCTGACAGGGCCTCCCCATGCTCACAGCCAAGAAT